GGCATCTGTTATTCAGGTCTTGATCAATAGGGTTCATATTGTCAGTTTTCTCTTTCATACAGAGGAACAACAAAAGATGTGGCCCACTGCTGGCCAAAGGAAAAGGGCAACCTATGGCCTCCTGAGATTCAAAATCCTGGAGAGAACAGGAGTAGTTTCCAGAAGCTGAACCCAAAGGAAGCAATGTAGACCACCTGAAGCTACCAAAATTTCTTTTGTAAGCAGTCTCAAGGCAAAGACTGACCTTTGAAAAATGCAGGGGCAGGAGCAGGGGCAGAACCCCAAGCAATTGAAAATCCATGTATAACTTTTGACTCCCCAAAACTTAATTACTAAAAGCCTGCTGTTGACTGGAAACTTTACTGATAACATAAGCCATCATTAAACATGTTTTGTATGTTATTGTATAATAAGTTGTATTCTTATCATAAACTAGATAAAAGAAAACATTAGTAAGAAACTTAAAAAGAAAATTCATTTATAGTCTGTACTAAATTTATTATACATTTACAAGAAAATTCACATGTAAGTGGACACATTCAACTCAAACCCGTGTTGTTTAAGGGCCAACTGGATTTGATTTGATGTGTGTCTATCATTTTTCTAGCTTCTTGCTCAAAATAGATGTTCACTGAGAGTTTGATGAAGACATAGGGAGACAGGAAAGTTGTGAATACGCTCTTTCCTCCTGGACTGTAGGGCTCTGCCTAGCATGTGCTATTCAGGCTTAACTGTGCAGGGAAGCCTCTAGCATTGGCTCAGGGCTGTTAAGTTCATACACCTCTTCCCAGCTGGACTGGGAGCTCCTTGTGGGCAAACTCCAGTTATTATTTTGCTTTATCCTTTGTTAGCTGCATAGTGCCTCTCACACAGCAGGCACTCAGCAAGGGTGTAGTGAAAGAAGAAACAGTGGTCATGGTTTGCCTTGACCATGGTTTATTAAAGTAGCTACTGGCCCTTAACGTGGCTTGAGAAAGATCATTTAATTCTGTCTCACTCATAAGCTAATTTCTCAAATGCTAGTATGGTAACTAGCTAGAGAAACTTCAAGACCAGTATTATTTTTTGGGTATTGTCAGTTTTACATAACAAAATGTAAATCTGACTTCTCCATGAATGAGAAAGGAACAACATATCCCAATTTGATATAAGCTGCAGCTATCAAGAGATAAGAGATATCCCTTTGTAGTGTATTGACAGATTGAGGATGTGCCAAGAAGCAAGCTTGTTTTGGTGAATATTGGGTTGGAGGGTAAATACTTCCCATGAAAAAGCATGCCATGTTCATGCTTTCTGAAAACACCTCCCTATTCCATGAAATACCCCAGGATTTTGATATCTTTGCAAGGGAAAAAAATCAGGGAATTCTAATAGAATAGAAAACTCAGCAACTGTGAGGTGGTGAAAAATTTATCAAAGGAGAAAATTCCAGAGAACTAGTACTAGGGCTCACCATTTTGAAAATATATTCATCCCCCTAGAAACCCCAAGAGCTTCTCATATGGCCCCCACTTCGAACATTCAGGGAATGTCTTTGCTATTTCTGATATTTTAAGCTTTTAAATACCTAACCATCATTGTTTTAGCTAGTGGATAGAGAGGTTTCCAAGAAGAAATTTACATACCTAATATTTATGAAGGCCATATTGACCATGGGGCCACCACATAATATTCAGATTTTACAGGGCTCAGCAACACCACATTTGAAGGGTTTCTATTACAATTATAGACAATGAAGATCCATACAGTTATTTGAAAAATTCTCCAGTAAATGAGAGTAAAGTATCTAATTCAAATTAAAAAAATTAACAATTAATAGAATTTTAGGATAGATGAAAGTATCCTGAGTAAGGATTTTCTGCTTCTAATGCACAAAAATGTTTCCATCGATAATCTGGATTTATCCTAATATGAATAAAATGTTGCTCTGTGAGGCAAAATAAAATTTCCCACAGACTCTGTTAAATATATGCTTTTGTACCTTAACTGTCCTCATACAACTGTTACATGGATTTTTTAAAAAAGATTTACTTATTCATGTATACAAGAACTGGGGTACAGGCCATATGTACAGGATTGTGACAGGACTCACCAGAGACACAGTGGGGAACAGAACAAGCAGATCTAATGAAATATACTGCTGAAGGGAGCAGCAGGTGAGACAGGAGAGGTCTGCCACACCATGTGGGTATCTCCCTGGCCAGCCAGGATTGAACTCACACTGCAGAGGCTGCGGACAGCTTCACAGTGCTGTGCTCAACCACCTGCACCACTAGGGAGGCCCTGTTATGTGGATTTTTACATTGCTTTCTATCTCTGTTATTTTAGCTAAAGAGTATATGATGAATTACTGAATTTCTGCATATTTTATACCATACCCCTTTTCTATTTTTCTCCTTTTAATGTGATTGACATTTATCATTAATATAATTGGAACTGTGAATAAATTAGAAACTGATAGGATTTAAGCAAATGGTCAAAGAACTTTTTTTTAATAAAGACTTTCATATTCATTTTATATTTACTGGGATAATCAGAGACCCTTTTTTTATTTATTTCTTGGTTCTCAGTTTTGCTGTGGATAGAGGAAGTTGCCAGGTAGCAGATTTCTTGTCACATACAGCTAGTCTTAGAAAAATTTGAAAAGCAATCTCAACTAGGAAGAAACAGTTTTTGGTCTTTTAACCTACAGTGGCATAAATTCCTTGGTGTTTTCAGATCATAAAGTCTCAGAGGGAGTTCTACCTATACATCTCTAGCACAGGATGAATGAGAAATAAATGTAATTCTGAAGCAGGAATTTGCTTTAGGAACTGATGTGGAAATTAATACTTTTCATTTCAGATTTTCCCTAAAGGTCCTAAAAGTATTTCGAATTGTTAACCCCAAATTCCCTTTCAGTTAGACAGGATGAAGCTGGAGTATCTATATCTTAGAAAACAAAACATACATTAAATAAAGTTAACATTGATGCTAATAATTGTCTGTGTCACTATTGGCATCTATTATAAAGCTCTCAGATTTGTAGGGAAACTAATGAAAATCCTCTGTTTTTGTAAGAGGGAGTAATTATCATGTAGTCCCATATTTATAAGTATGGAAACATAAAGCTCAGGCACAATAAAATCAGAGGTTTGATGACCATGGACCCTGAAACAAGGGTATAAACAATGAGAAGGAATAAAACAAGATGAAGAGTTCACCTTCTCGACCCTTCCCCCAAATTCCCTTCCTCACAGAGAGCCATGGGACCAATGCCATTCAGTACAGAATCTTTCGTGCAAGACCTCTGCAGGTCTAGAAGCACAAAGAGAGCTTTACAAGGTCCAAGTTATTTCAATTTCTGGGTGAACTTTAGATGCTTGAGTTTCATAATCAATGGCCTTTCTGTGTGATGTTAAAAAAATACAAAGATCAATCAACTGACTTACAAAGGAAATTCACCACACTAAACAACTGAATTAAAAATATAAATAAAATGGTATCAATGAGCATTGCTGTCCTACAGAAACAAGGTAAGCATACTAGAAAAATTGCCCAAAATTCCATTCCCTGATAGAAATCAACTTGGCGCTCTATATATTACATTTCATCTAAAAGTCTTGCTCAATAAATTATTTCTGTTTTTTATTATTATGGCAAGAAGGATAGCTATAGAAGAACCTAAATAAATTTTTATAGGTATGGGTTGAATAAACGAGTTAAATGTAATAGTTTGTCATAATAAAAAACTTTGTACAAAGAAAAGGTTGCATAATGCAAAGCAAGGCTGACAAAGCAACAGGAAGGCTAATTAACATTGACATATGACACTCTATTTGTATTGTCATTATCTGAACACAGTAAGAATAACAGTGGTGTTTAGGCTTTTGATTTTGTATTGAATCACATAGGTGATTTACTTGAATCACATAGGTGATTCAAGTAAACTATTTTGTAAAACTGTATTCAATGACTTCTATTTTAAATTTAAAAAGCCATAAGTGGAAAGAGAGAGTAATTCCCTTTATAAAAAAGGTTTAAAAGAAAGGAAACTATGTGAGATGTTTAAAAAAGTGACTTTAAGGAATTATTTGCAAAATCACTTCCTTAGGAGCAAGCCTTTAGAAGAGTCTGATTTGAAGTAGTTGAAAGTAAATTATCTCTGTTGGTTAGCAAGAAATCATGAGGTTTGACTAGAGTAACTGGAAGTATGTTTAAGCCATGAGTAAAAAGAGAAGGTGGCAGCCAGCACTGAGCTATTCTGTCTTTTGGGAAGAACAGTGATCCGAGGTCTTGGATTTATTAATTGACCTAAGAAAACCGAACAGTAAGATGCAAGCCCAATGGAAGGGGACTTTCTGTTGCTCCCATCCAAGCAGAGGGAAGGAGAGGCGGGAAGAGCCAACAACAGCAGTCCTGAGATTTGATGATGGGCCCGCCTAGAGCCCAGGGGAGAAAGTGTTAGACTGCAGTCAATAGCCAAGGCCTGGTTCAGTTGGGCTTGCCAGCTGATGGCCACCCAATGTATGGGGAAGAAGGCTAGTTTGAGAACCTATAGACCAGTCTTCTACTCTGTAAGTGGAGCAAACAAATTGTTGAGGTCATTTTCAATTGAAAATTGATCTTACAGAGAAATAACATGTTGTACAAAGCATTTCATTTCTTTTTACTTTCATTTCCTAAAATATTATGGTATTTATGAAGGAGGGAAATGGGTCATACCATGCATCTTAATGGGATTGTTTAGAAAGTACACTCAAGTGTTGAAGTTTGTGTGGAATGTGTGTATGCAACATTAGTCAACCAATCTTGTCTGTCATCAGTGACAGCTGCCAGATTTGCAAACACAAGGTGTGAGAAAATATAACCAACACTTTTCAGTTATTGAAAATGCTTCATCAATGGATATATAGTTTAGTAAGTGGCACCTGGAAGATTTCTCTGTCAATTTCTCTCTCTCTCTCTCTCTCTCTCTCTCTCTCTCTCTCTCTCTCTCTCTCTCTCTCTCTCTCCTCTCTCTCTCTCTCTCTCTCTCACACACACACACACACACACACAATCTAGAAGGAAGGTATGATAAAATCTGATTTCAAAAATTGCATGAGTTCCCTCCACTGCATTTTTTCTTAGAGAAGTAGATTATCAAATAGGACACACTAAAAATTATGTACCCACCAAATTTTAATAATAAATAAGTGCTGAAAGAAAACAGATGAAGGGAATCACAGGTTTGAGTTTTACTAAGAGAAAATAGAAAAAGAAGGATCATCTATTTTTCACTCTCTTGTCCTGCCCCACCTTCCTCAGCATACTTGTTGAGGGGAATAAAAAGAAAATAATGATGCTACTAATCAATTCAGAAGAGAAGTTGCCATCAAATAAAATAATCAGAGTTATGACTTCATAAATTATAAAAAATTAATTTATTGTAGTAGAGTAGTGAGGATCAAGCAATATGTTAGATTGGTTCTTGAAATATAAAGGGAAGAAAGGCTAAAGTATACTCTGCAGAATTATGGAAAACATAGAAGGACCTAGCATCATAGATCTATTTTTTTTCTTTCTAAAAAGAAAGGCAGAAATATGAGGTAGAAATTCTCATTTCACAGAGTCAATAATTAATTCCTCATAGTATTGAAGAATACATGCATTTTTTCCTATAATGTATAATAATGAAAATAATGAAATTAAATGAAAACATTATTCCAAGAAATCATGTCAACTAGCTTGAACTGCGTGGCAGAGATTACTAAGGTTTCTTTAATATACATTTCCCCTTCTAAACTAAGACATGAAGCTCCTGGTTTTTAGATGGACGCAAAACCATCAAGAAAGGGGGTTGCAATTGTATGGGGAATATAAAACTAAAATTAAAAAATAAAAAAGAATAATGACTACAATTCCCAGTTTCCTTGTAGCTAAATTTGGGGTACAGGCCAGAGGCGTGGGAGGGTGAGAGGATTCACCAGAGACAGAGCAGGGAGCAGAACAGGCAGATGACAGAAATACACTGCTGAGGGGAACGGTAGGCACGACAGGATAGGTCTGCCACACCTTGTGGGAATCTCTCCAGCCAGCGGGGATCGAACCCACATTGCAGAGGCTGTGGACAGCTTTACAGTGCGGCGCTCAACCCGCTGCACCACTGGGGAGGGTCTGGACTAAATTTTGATCAGTGGAATGTAAGTAGAAGTAGTGTGTATATTCTTAAATGAAAGAAACACCCTTCTTTGTCTCTGTTCCTTTCTTTTTAACTGGGATACAAAAGCAGTGGTTGGAACTTTGAGTCATGTAGTAATCTTGAGAATAGGAGGATGCACAATGCAGCAAGGCATTAATTCAAAAAGATACCAGCACCCTTATGTTTATTGCAGCACTATTTATAATAGGTAAGATATAGAAATAACCCAAATGCCCCAAAATAGGTGACTGGATCAAGATGTGGTATATATACACAATGGAATACTATTTAGCAATTAAAAAAGATAAACTCATGCCATTCACAGCAACATGGATGGAGCTAGCAGGGATCATGCTCAGTGAAATAAGTCAGAAGGAAAAAGAAAAATATCGAATGGTTTCACTGATAGGAGGAATGCAAGGGAACCAAATAAGGGATCAGCAAAAAACATAACAATAATAATAATAATAAAACTAGTAGGTGACCATGAATAAGAGACATTCTACAAGGGAGGGGGAGGAAAAGGGATCAAAACAGGGGAGAGAAGAGCACCAGGGACTATGGTGAAGGATCAAGGGTGAATTGGTGGTGGGAATTTTACGGGGAATACACAATGATGTAAAAGATATAAAAATAAATAAATAGGATAATAGTAATTTAAAAAAGAAGTACAAAAAATAATGCAGCAAGAGACAAGGAGCATGGGGCCTGTCTCAAGAGGCTATCCAGCAAAGGTCTCAACTCCTTGCTATCTCCAGAATTTTGAAATAAGAGCAGATGTTGATCCCTATCCTATTTATACTACTGTTTTTTTTTTTTTTTTTTTTTTTTTTTTAGCCACTTGGGAGAAAAGTTAATCCTAACGAATAGATTCTGGTAAGGTTGCCCACCAAAGCAGTTCTATGAATAGAGTAACTAGATAGATCATTGGTTTCTTTGGAATGTTTTTGAAAAACTTAACTTTAAAAAAAAAAGGGGGTGGGGGAAAGTGTGTCCCTAAAGGGAAGTGGGTCAATGTTTTCTGTCACTCAAAGAAAAATAGAACAATAATTCTGAGTTAAAGATTGACATTGTCAAATGCAAATTAGGAAGACTTTCAGTTGTGGATCCTTCTTTCCTTTTTATTTCGCCCTTCCTTTCTTTCTCTTTATTTTCACTCTACCATCCTCTGTTTCTCTCTCCCTTCCTTGCTTCCCACTTTCATTCCTTTTTTCCTCAATTAATTAAACTCTCAAGTTCAAGTCAAAGCCTATTTTAGATTCCTTGAATTTTTTTTTATTTCACCGTCTAACATGATTCTTGCCCTTAACATGCTTGCACATCCAAGGAAGAGAATTAATTTTTCACCCGACACCAAATATTTCTATGAATACCAATATTTGAGAAACTTGATCCACTTTCTAGAAGTGCTTTTTTTCTTGGCCTTTAGTAAAAAGAGTAAGCTTTTTGAGGATGAAAAGACATGCTACCCACAAATTTGGAATTCTTTTGATAATTCTCTATTTTAGAGAATTCTTTATTGGTGCATGCATTTTTCTAAAATTCAAAATGTATCTGCTTCCTTTCTGCACTGCACACTGTGCAGCTACAGGAACAGTATTTTCCTTTATCAGTTCTGCTTTTGAACACACCATTCTTAAGTTGTGATTCTTAAGTTATCACAAATATTTGAACACTGTTGGTAGAAACCTAAACATCTTCTCTCTAGCACAGGTTACAAATGATTCTTAAATGGGTAAGAAACAAAGAAAAAAGACACTCAACATTTCTAAGTTTAAAAAGGTGAATATTTGTATTTTTCCTACTTAATTCAGTTATCCCTTGAAAACAGATACTACCTTGGGCTAAAATGTCATCAGACTATTTGAATTCTAATCAGCTGTAAAAATTCTCCTAGTTACATGCTAAAGTAACTCAGAACTAATGAGTGAGTATTTGCTTTAAGAAATAATTAGCCAGAATAGTCACTTCATAGTGAGTCACATTTTGAGACATTATAATTTTTTAAATTAGGGTTAAAATGAAGATTATTTATTCTTGGCAAGATTCCTTTCTAATTTTCAAAGATTGAAATGAGCAATTGTAGTTTTTATTTGCTTCACAATTTAGCAGTCATGACGGATTTCTTCAGCTTGGCAATATACATTTTAGCTGGTCCTAATGAAGACAAATTCCTCTCAATCATGAGTGTCCCATTCATTAAGTGAGACAGATGGCAGCCTTGCTATATTTTGTTAGACCCAGTCTTTTGAAGCTGGCAATCTCCCTTATTTAGGTCTACAAGATAGCAAGGCTTAATTCTCTGAAGGGAAAAAAGAAAGAAGTCAATGTTTTGCTAGGGCAAGACGTCAAGCTATCTTCAAAACAAGTAAGCCAACAGCCAGCTCTCAAATTTGGAGTGGTATGGACATACATTTTCATTTCTGGGACACACACCCTCACATAATAGGGCAAATAGAATGCTAAGATACTCAGAGAAGTATTAGCTTAGAGCTTTTCTAAGAGATGAAATTTCTCTGATGTAGAATATTCCACACTCCAAGGTATTTTCTGTGCTCTGGGAATTCCCTAATCCTCTACTTAATTTTTGCTGACTTTGAGACATGCCTGGAAGCTGAAACAAATAGAAGTCAAACTGGAAAGTAACAAGTTTCTTGTGGTCCTACATAATGTCAGCAGAAGTTACTTAAGAAAGGCTAAGTTGTTGACAGAGGACTTCAGGGCACCTTTGGCTAAGGTTTACAAGACAGAATGCCAAGATGGTTCAAAGAGAAAAATAACACTGGTTTTAAATTTCCCCCTCTACATTCAAGAGAGCACTAGGGGCTACTGGGCAGCTGATGTCTAATCTTTAGTTTTAGTAGGCTCACTTCTGACGACAGCACTTAACCTGGATCTGCAACATTTTTTGACTGGTAAGATTCAGGCAGATGAGACTGTACAGGCAGAATGGGTCCTTAAAATAGGAGGCAAAGCTGCAAGAGCTGGGAGTACTCAGTCATAAGAAGCAGCAACATGACAGTATGGAATTATCCAGATTAAGGAGAAACGTTGGGTGTTACTGCACAGCCTTACACTCCTTTTCATGACTTTGTCTGAATAAGCAGAACCTCTGAAGAATACAAAGAGGATGTATAGAAAGAAGAAGTAAGAAGAGGCTAGGGGAGATCCAGTTTTTTTCTGATAAGTAGAAAATTTTCTGGAGCTTTAGAATTCTCATTATGGATTGCTGGGGTTGGGACTGGAACAGTTGTAAGTTAATTATTTAAGTGAAGAAAGATTAAAACCTGAAACACATTTACAATATTGTTAATGTTGATGTTAATAGTCATAGAAAAATCACCTAAGTAATTTTTCCTCTTCAGATGTTATATGCAGTGCATCTCAGAAGTATGTACAAATTCATGCAAAGTTAAAATGGCAACAAAACTTAGTATGGTGTTATTGTGTGAAGTATTAACTGTTTTGTCTGTGCATGGAGGGAATAATGAAGTGACAATTTAAATATGTAAGCACTGATTTTATTTTTTCTCTACATGGTTTTCTAGGTTTTTGACTTTCTGTAAGCTTTCTCCATAGAAGTATGTATTACAAGTTTAATAGAAAAGTAAATTTTAAATTAAGAAATGCTATTTTCGGTTTGCATGATTTCTAATCATGTGAACATGGTCAATTTTTTCAAGCCACTACTGGAAAATTTAGGAATTTGGTGTTTCCATGGGCTTTTCATAGCCGTTGGTACATGTGTACCAACACAGGCTTCAGTGAATTGCTCTGACTCTAAATAATAACTGCCTCTGTCAGTTATGGAATGCTTTAAAGTAGAGTAGTTCTGACATTTCATCTAATTCTCATCTCACCCAAGGGAGGCAGAGATTATAGTTCCACTGTGCAGATTTGAAAACCCAGGTGCTGGGGTAGCCTACCTTGTCCACGGCACTGCAGTAAAGCCGGAACCCAAATCCCACCCTCTGTCCTTTACATTCTCCTACCTGTGGCCCGAGTGCTTGCTCCTCTGCATAAATGCAGGGCTGTAGACAAGTCAATCCCTAGGCTTCAGCTCCCTCAAATGTGAAATGGTGGCATAGATTTGACCATCCCCAAGGTCCCTACTAGTGCCTCTTCTTTCTGAATTTGGGTTTATTCAGTAGAATGAATAGTGATGGAGTTCATGGCTGTCAGATGACCTAAGGGAATGCTCCAGGGACTAGAGTGTAAAACAGGCCTCCAGAAAGCCCAGGGTGCTATTAGGAATGGTAGGATCCAGCAAGACTTTCCTCTAAGTTCCATTCTCAAGAGAAATCTTACCAATCATATGGATTCTAAATAAGAAGAGGAAAAAAAAATTACCTCTATGCACATAATACATACAATTTTCACATACAACTTTAGATGTTTTATAGACTGAGTTTGGGATGTACTGGCCAAGTCAACAACCCCCGTATTAAATAATGCACATGGACACAATTTTGTGGCCTATATAGAAAGCCTCATCTTGGTTGTTATACAATGAGAGCAAAACTTGTTTTCATATAGGAAATAGTCACTGAAACATACCAATGGAGAAAGCTGTGATGTATTTTCAGTATAGTCCATTTTTCCACATTACTTTCTTGGTTATTGGGGTAGGGTAGGCAAGAAAATTTGATGCAGAACAAATATAAATATCTTCTTTAAAAGTATGTGTAGCGAATCCCCCACTACTTTAATGCTCATTTTGCATACCCCAAGAGCAGCATTCCTGATTGCAGACATATGGTTGTGATTTTGGACCCACATGCCCACAAACTGTATATTTAGATCCAACACCAGTGTCAAGACTGGGAAAAACAGTAGAAAACTGGAACTCAGATATACCTATATTCTTTCCAAAGGGGAGAGGTATTCTACTAATAATTTTGCTCTTCCATGCACTCATGATATATATTTTTCAGAACCCAGGAAGGACAAGACATCTTGTATAAATCTGAAAATGTAAATTGCCATATTATTCTGGGTGTTGAAAAGTCAAGGACAAAGGAGACTCCAGGTTGGAAAAATGATCCATGTGCCATCTGAATGTGGATCCACTATTTATGGCTATCTATCAGTTGTCACAGTATCTACTTCTGTGGCTGGTAACCATAGGTCATTTTTGCTAATGCAAACTCCATCAGGCCAGGGTCATTGCAGTAGCCATCAATATTGACTTCACACCTCAATGATACACACCAACATTGACTGTAGAAGGTTTTCATAGTTTTTCCATTTTCGCATGCCTCACATTAAATATCATTAAAAAATTAAAACCCCCAAATTTAAAGAAATTTACAAGTATTCATTTAAGAAGAAAAGGACTAAAAAAATACCCACCCAAGCACCTACAACTCATCTAGGGAACAATGATAATGATACGTAGGGCTGACTGAAGAGCTCTGTGATTCTTGGGACAGCAGGGAGGTGCAATCCCTTCTCTGGAAGGTGAGATGTGAGTCCTGTGGATGCAGATAGGTGTTGTCAGTGGTGCTTTGCTTCCTAAGTCAAGTCCAGCAGCCGCATGTCAGAGTCATTGTCATTACTTATTTCGACCTATAACAGAAAATATCAGCTGTTTAAAGACTTAAAAACTGAAAAATAATTTTCCTTTTTTACAACCTGCAAATTAGCTTCTGTACCTCATGCTGTTGGTGTATGTAATTGTAGCAACAAGAAAGCAAAAACCTGGGCTTCTTGCTTTTCAGGTGTGGCAATCAGGTATAAACATCACATTACAGGACTGGTTTCCTGGGAGAGAAGTGCCAATCACATAACTTCTAAGGAGTGATGTTGATGTAATGGTAGTGTTTGGTTGCCTTGGGGTAAAGATGACAGGGGAAAAATATTTCTCCAAACCTCCAGCATTCTGTTGGTTGACTGCTAAAGGATCATCCTAGTTTGGCTCTTATACCATCTAATCTTTCACCTATATCCTTTACCTATATCCCAGTCTGTGATGGTTAATCTTATATCTCAACTAGCCGAGGCCTAGTACCCAGATATTTGGTCAAATAGCAGTTTAATGTTCACATGAGGTATTTTTTGATGACATTAACATTTACATCAATAGACTTTGAGTACAAACCATTTCCTAAATAATGTGGGTGGATTTTACTCAATCAGTTGAAAGTCTTATAAACAAAGACTGACGTCCCCTGAAGAAGAAGGAATTCTGCCTCCAGATTCTTCTAACTCAAGACTGAAACATCAACTCTTCCTTGGGTTTCCAGTTTGCCAGCTTTTCTGCACATTTAGAATTTGCCTGCCCCTCATTAATGACATATGGCAATTTCTTAAAATTTCTCTTTACACACACACACACACCCCATTTTGGTTCTGATTCTCTGGAGTTGCTCTTGTTTCTATATCTTTGACAAAACCTGTGCATTTTCATTGATTCTAAACTGGGCAGGAAGACTTGGGAAGGTGAGGATTCTGGTTTAAGCATCTTACAACAGCAACTCCTACACAGTGTTTGTTACATAATTGGCACTTGATAAATAGTGAATACTTTTGCTTTCGCTGTTACTCTCATGTGAAAAGACTTAGCTGATCCAAATTCTATTCATTTTTGAGGCTCAGCTGAAATTTCTCTTCCTCTGTGAAGGCTACTATTGCTACCTGAGCCATATTACTTTATCACCCTGCTAATAACAACTCTTAGGCTCTCAGCTGTATGTCACATGGAGCTAATGGCATTCATTTTCAAAATTAATTGTGCTCTGATTTTTGCACTCTGGTAAATTTTCTCCCTGCAACAAAATTATAAGCATCATACAAGTAGAAACAGTGTTTTACTCCAATTTTATAATGCTATCTAGCAATTCTCTTCCATTAACTCAGTTCAATGATGCTCTCCATGACTTGGAAAGGACGCTTTTTCCATAATTTGGAAGAGCTGAAAAAGTTTCCAACTTTCTAGTTTTGCTTTTTGATAGCCACTCTTCTACTTGTAAACTTTGCTCCCCTCTGTACACCTCAGGGACTGAGGTCCTTCAGCAATGCCTTGGTCAGCCTTTCATATTTTCTCTACTCTTCTATTTCTCTACATTTGGAACAGCACAGTCCAAATGTCTACTAGTTTGCTCCATCATATTTTAATGGGGATTTCAGCTGAAAGATAAAGAATGAACTTAGAGGAGTGGATTTTTTATAGCATTACACAGTCTTTTAGTTAGAAGAAAGATTCAGGGTCCTGGACTTTATTCATCCATCCAATCAGTGATACTCTTCCATAGTGCAGATAAAACAGGAGGAGAAAATGTTTTTTGTTTGTTTGTTTGTCTATTAGTGGTAGCATTTGGGAGAACTTTGAGGAATCCATTACATTTCACTTTAATGCCAGCCCTGTGTATAGCTAATATTTTCCATTGTGGGGTTTTACTGACATGGATTTGGAAAGAAAGTGTAGTAGGCTGAGGCTGTTCCTCTGATTCTAGGTAGGAACTCTAGGAGTGTTACTTCAGGCACTTGGGAATATGTCTGTGAGGAGTTTTCAGAGAAAACCATGAAGTGTGAAATTTTAAAAGAAAACTGTGAAGAAAACACTGGTGAAGTTGTGAAAGGAAGCATTATAAAGTAATCCTACTGGAGACTATCATGGATTTTATTAACAGATTTATTTTTTAAAATAAAACATACTCATAGGTAGAAAGGATGGTGTTTTGAAGTCCTATGTATTCACTATTTAAATTCAACTAAAATAAAATTTATGTTAGTCAAATTCACTTATCCACCACGTTTTTCTGGCTAGTGTGTTTAAAAGCAAATCATGTCACATTAAATCATGTCACTCATTAATACATCTTTTTGCATTTCTAACTCAGTGATTCTTAACCAGGAGGCATTTACTAGCTGGTTGTCACAAACTGAGGAGGATGGCAGTGGTGTTGTTATTGGCATTTAGTGCATGGAGACCAAGGATGCTGCTAAATATTCCAAATTTCACAGCACAGCTTCCACTCGTAAGAGTGATCTGGTCCAGAATTCATGTTGAGGCTGAGAAACTCTGCTCAAATGATAAGAATTTCTTTTTTTTGCCTGCTCATTGGTGTGCCTATTAAAAAAGAGTTTCTTAAATTATTTACTATCCAGTCCACATTCACATTCCCTCAATCACCTAGCATCACATTACATCAACAGCTCATTATAGTTGGATTGTTGAAACCAGAATCCAAATACTGTGCAGACATGGTGTCTGACCCTCATATCTCTTTTAATCAGCAACTGTTCATGCCTCCCTTTTAATTTACCATATACTATTTCCCACATTCTAGACTCGGGTGATTGTGTCCTTATGAGGAGATTTAGTTTACTCTTGTATTAGTTTTTAGCATTTAGTTTACTCTTGTATTTAGTTATTCTTGTATTTTCTATATTTGCAGTCTAAGATTGCACTTGACTAGGTGGCAAGATACTTCACAGCTGGTGTAGTGTTGTCTTATCATATCACATCTGGATACAGACTGTCTAGCTGTCGCTCTTTTAATGATGCTATGATGATCAGCGAGTCTGGGTAGAACAGTATGAGTTTGAGGATCTTTAAGATCATATCCATACAAACTTTTTGGACAGATGTATACAGTTACATATACCACCATTACGTGGGGGTACCTACCCTCCAGGCAGAATGAAATCAAGTAATATGATAATGATGTTATTTCAAAGTGTGTCGCCTGACAAGCCTGTCACTGTCTTTTTTTTTCTGTTGCTGTTCTAAGACTTTTGGGTTATGTGTGTGCTTGCGTGTGTGTTTTCATCTGTGATTTGTATATTCTTTCCTATGTCTTGTTTCTTCCAAGAACTTGTCATAACATGGGGTTATATTTTTTGATGTTTATATAAAATTTAAAAAAAAGTATTTATCAATATTTGCTCTGTTAATTGCCTTTAGTTTTTTTTTTAAATTTATTTATTTATATGTGAACCGGGGTACAGGCCAGATGTGCAGGAGGGTGAGATGATTCACCAGAGACAGAACAGGGAACAGAACAGACAGACTGATGAAATACACTGCTGCCCTCAGCAGCGGGTGAGACAGGAGAGGTCTGCTGGGCCATGTGGTGTTCTCGCCAGCTGGCTGGGATCGAACCTGCTCTGCAGAGGCTGCAGACAGCTTCAGAGTGTGGCACTAACCACCTGCACCACCAGGGAGGCCCAATTGGTTTTAGTTTTGAAATCAGAAGATGTTTTCTTTGGGAAATAGGGTAAGATGAAGCTACTTTTTACTTATGCTATTTAACTTTGGGGGAGGAGGTGCTTCGTGTCTCCACATCACTATGCAAATCTATTCTCTTGCCAATGACATCAATGACAAGGACCGAGAATAAGTTGAGGATTCTGGGAAAAACAGGAATTGACAGCTTCCCTGGAGGGACCATTCAGATACAGACTTTCTTATTTTGGAGAATCTTCATGTACTTCATGAGTCAGCATGAAAAGCAGACTCCACATGTGAAATGAGAAGGTCTCCAGTCCCCAGTGATGAGTAGGGCAGGTGACTAGTTGTGGTCATGGCCAATGTGCTCAGGTGTGGCCAGTCATGTTGCCTGTGGCCCTTGCCTAGCAAGGGCAACAGTGAACGAACCGACAGTATAGTGATATGTGGCCCAACCTCACCATATAAACCCAGTCATTTCATTCCTAGCTGCTCAAATGGCTACACATTACCATGCGCTCTTACATTAGTCCTTACAATGGTATAATCACTTCTTATGATGGATCAAAAAGTTATTAAAGCCTATGGCAAAGAAAAAGAACTCCAACACTAAAGAACAATGTGTCTCAAGTTCTGCTACCTTTGTGTTCCTTAAGGCAGGCAGAAGGGGAGCCCTCATGCCCGCTGGGACTCTGAAGAAGGTGCTGAGTACATTACAGTTGTAGTGCTCTGCACCCTTGAGACAGGCCCAAGAGTTAATGCCTCTGTAAGAGCTCAGCATTTCTGGGGGCTGATGAAAGCCCCCAGGCAGCAACTGCACACTCAGTAATGGGAAATGCGCACCAGCCCTTGCTATGAGCAGATTACAGACATCTTACTCTGGCTGCCACAGGGGACAAACAGCACAGGTAGATAAATATGAAAGTGTGAAAGCCAATCAAGGACAAATGAAAACAGGATAGGCAGAGTTATTATTTTATTAGTCTTTAGGTGCTTGGTCAAAAAAACAAATAGTGTGATTCAGGTCGTAGACTCCTTTTTCATCCAGCTGCAGTTTACTAATACATCAATCCTTGTTATTGGTTTTTAAATCAGAGTTTGAAAGCATATTGGTCTCACCTTTCCACCTCCTAGACAAACACACACACACACACGTAAGGACACATATACAGACACACACACACATCTGATTTGTCCTCTTGGTTGGATCTTAATCTTAATGCTGTAAATTGCAAAATGGCCTGGCACCAACCTGCTACAAAACAGCTACCCTCAGGAAAGGCAACGCAGGCCTGCTGGCTCTGTGTAGTAGCCCTGGTATCAGAGTTGGGATTCTCCTGACCCTGGATCATGAGAAGCAGAGAGCAGGTAGTGGAAGGATGGGTGGGAGCTGGCTGCAGTGCAGTCCTGAAATGGGGTTAGCCTCTTCAGGCTTCTAAAACTTAGTTGTATAGCAGCCGCTCAATCAGCAGTGGTCACATAGTATGTACCAATTTTTGTGAAGAAAAATTAGTCTCCAGCAACGGTAAATAAGACTAATCAAGATGCCAGAGAAAAAGTCAAGTTCACTTTTGGATCTCTTAGAATAAGGTTGGCTAAAAGTGATGGGGGAAGCTGTTTTCATCAAGTCTTTTAAAATGCAATTATGGTTGTCTTCCTCATGGAAATTTCTGTCATCAGATCTCTCTACCTCTGTTGTGGAACTCTGTTCTGAAATTCTACTGCTGCCTTTCTTCGATACACAGCCCAGATCTAATTATTTTTATGCAAAGAGTTTCTGTTTCATGGAGGTTCATTTCTGCACTACCCAGATGCTAACCGTTTTGAATGATTTTGACAAACTTTGAAGTAATTTATTTGCTCACTATGATGTTCTTTGGCATTCCATGTCTCTTCTCAGTTGCATGGCTCTGTGTCAAGCCATTTTTCTTCTTGAGGGCTAAACATGCTCTTGTTAACCCTCTTCTGTAGGTATCACTGCTTCCACAATGAGCCACTGTGTGCGTATCTTCTTCAGAGTCACCACTGGCCACTTGCTTCTGTATTTGAATGACAAGAGTGCCCATTGCTCTTCCTCATGTGAAAGGTGGCATTAGTGAATGGAAGAGATCCTGACGGAGACCCAGGATGTAATCAGGTTGAAAATTACACCCAGTCACTAGTGGCTGTGTCAAGGTGACATACCCCAGTCCAGGCTACCCCCAAGCTGTGTATCACATATACCCAAACCAGACCCAGATGACAACCACTGAAAGCATCTCCATAGCTTTAAGTATAATGAATTACATCATTTAGATGGTGGCACAATGGTGCCTGAGGATCTCAGTGTCCCCATCAGGACACTCTGCTTAAACAGCTGCTTTAATATCAGTTTGCTCACTTTATGTGAGAACTATAGTAAATACCTGATTGGATTGTCATAAATTTCAATTTTATTTTCTGCAGAATGGCCAAGCAAATTAGCCTCCATGCAGGGTACATCTTTGTTGTTGTTGTTTTTGATAAACTCATCATTGTTTTTCTAAACTAGCTCAGGCATCATCTCCCAGTGGAAACTTCAGCCCCATTCTGCAAAAAATTGGCTTTGAGGACATCTTTTCAGATCCACTTATTTCTATATAAGTTTCTTCTAGATCATCAGCTGTTGAAGGTCCAAATATTACTCATCTTTATCTCGCCAGCACCCAGCATAGGGTCTAGCACACATTGGTTGTAAATAACCGATGAATGACTATAAATGGAAGTACTATAAATGGAATGAAAAACCAATTTTTTTAATCAGGGAATTATTTTAAGCTTGATATTAGTATTATGCAAAAAGAAAAAGCATGAAGAAACAAGTCCATCTTGGAGCCCTTCACCCTATCATATCACCTCCAATGTACACATTCACACACAATTTGACTGTGGACTGGAAAGGTCTACTTTATGATTATAAGAAATGACACAATCAAACAGATGGATGAGAAAGAAGTCTTTCTTTGAAGTCTGCAGAGCTACCTGTGAGTGTGTCTGTAACCACCTATCTAGAATTGATAGTTACCTATCCATGCACATGTCACCTGGGAATATGCTAAGAATTATCCCAATCCTTTTGAAGGATAGGCCTTCCCCAAATACCCAGAACAGGCTTTTGAAAAATATGTCACTTTGGCATGTGTATTATTTCAACCTGAGGTCAGTTGAGTCTTGTGAGCTCATGAGGGACTTCTATACTCCCTTAACTTAGAATAAAAATTGTGGTTTTTACCCTGATTTATAATTTTTGCCAGAAGTAACTGTCTATTGGAGGAACTTATCTATATGGTAGAGCTAATATGCAATTACAGAAAACCTGGTATTCATCATATGAGTCCCCTCTCCTTGTTATGTGAATCCCCCAACTCTCTCCTCTCCCATTCCTTACATGAGGATATTTACTCTCTTTGCCCCATTGGCTTTAGACTCTACATACACATAGGTTCTCCATATTCATGTAACTAAACTTGTTTATTTCTCCTACTAATCTCTCTGATGCTAAGTTTATCGGTTCACCAGCCTGAAAAGAAGTCCGAGGAGCAGTGGGGGAATTTTCTGTCTTTTCCTACACCCAGAATAAAGTGGCTTTCTCAGAAAACCTGACTTTGTACTTTATGGAGATTAAAGAGACTTAATGAAGGTTAATAACCAACATTCACCCCCTATGATTTAGTGCAGAAGATTGGCTTTTTCTCTAACATGTGGCAAGATAGCATCACCAAGTTGGGCACAAAGAAATCCAACAGGAAGGCCTCATTAAAAGAACCCAGGCAGGCTGATTGCTGCTGAGTGGATAAACTACAATATTTGCATCTGAGTGGGGAGCACATACACTGATTCTTAAATTGTTTCATGCTCAATGATTTTAATTCAGGCTTGGTTTCATCTTTCAGCTTCCTGCTCCCTTCATGGTTAAAAGGCGTTTCATATTCATCTGACACAATAATATGCATAATACGTCAAAGTCAAAACTTTATACAATTGCTATCTGAAGTCTGTAGTTTATCTTACATTCAGCCCCAAAAAGTGTGAGAGTTCAGCAGTAAGCAGGATAGTTGAGAAAAATTCTTTTGACAAGGGACTGGAGTTGATCAAAGCCTTTTAGGTTATCTTACAAGAATACTTGATTGTTTCTATTTCACAGAGATGGAAGGGTCTTCAGAGAGCATAGATGGAAGCCAATTGTCTCTAGGACCTGCCACAGAATACCCTTTTGAGGTACATGGATATGCGTGTGTCATTCAAGAATGGTAATTTCATTACCAACACTAATCAATTACAGTTTTTAATAACCTTCCCTAATGGAAAGTTCTTTCTGACATCTGACCAACATTTTTCATATTGCAATCTCTCCACTGAGTTTTTTTTTCACAGTGGAGATGAAAGAAATCATTCATCATCCTCTTATCAGATAACAAATATATATGGGGTGATCTCCAAATCACCCTAGGCATTGTTTCAGTTCTTTTCTCACATTCAAATCACTGATCATCTTTTTTATTGTCACAAACCCTGCCAAGTCTCCCAAATCCACAAACATCAACTTGGGGTGTGCATCATTTACGAGCACTCAATAGCATGAGTAACGAGGTGGTGACTGTTTGGTCCTGGAGTGTTATATAGGGTGACTGTTTTCCCAAATTGGATTTGCTTTAAGAAACCAAAATTTAATTAAACATCTATCATGTGACAGGCACAGTGCTGATTTGTGTCTCCTGTGAACAATGCTTCCTTTAGATCATCCTGCCTGAATAAAATTAATTTAAACGGGATGCAGATAAGGACAGGATCCACTGTGGCAAATAGGCAGTGGGAGAAGACTTTCATATGTGTTTCTTCCACCAGTGACATTTTACACAACTTCACTCATCATCATGGAAACAGAACTTTGGGCTTAAAGAGTAGGAAGGTCATCTGAGCAAGCCTGTGACGTCAGGCATGGTGATAGTTCATCATCCAAGAAAGATTCCAGCTCCACCACCTACTAATAGTAGGATTTTGGGAAAGTTGCCTGACCTTTATGATTCTCACTGTCCTTCTTTATAAAGTGGACTGTTAATTAGTAGTAATTAATTTATTAGTGTATTATAGTATTTTCCTCAGGATTAAGTGAGATAATATATTCAAAATGTTTAGCACATAATAATTATTATTTTATATAGTTGTTTACTTGCTATTTAGAATTTTCTAGAAATTTTCTAAAATGGACTGAAGTCACTGGTCCATTTTATTGTTTTCTAGTACTTTATCAATTAGGTGACCAAGATTCCTTCTTACATACAACAAAAGTCTGATCAGTTTGAATTGTTTTGTTGTTACTGACTTCCTTTCATGTCTTTTAGGGATGGCTAGTCAAATATTTGAGTACAAGGCACAATGATGGGCAATTTTCATATACTATACATACCTTATCTATTTTAATCCATCCTCTCTCCTTCATCTACAAAACTATATTACAGTTGAGGGAAACAAATTTCAGAGCTGACAAGAAAGGCCCCTCAGATTACACAGGTAGAGCCTGGATTCTAACTTAGTCTTTTTCCTCTTTTCTCTTTGCCATGCTACCCCAAAACACACATGACTATCTCTTCTGTTGACTAAATTGTCTTCCCCAACCCCCAATTTGGCAGTCAACTACTGATAAAAAAAAATAGAAACATCATTTGGGAAGCATTAATCATGTTATCTATTTGAAATCCTTTCCAGAATGAAAAATAGCAATGATGATGTTGGGTTACATGTGAAAGGTGTGTTTAAGTATGAGTGGAAAATTAAACCAACGATTAGTAGTAGCAGGTCCAAATTATTTCAGGTTTGGTTAGTTTTGGCGCAGTTAGAAGGATTAATGTTTCCATCTCATCACACCTTTACTTACAGGTTAACAGGCTTTAACTCAACATGATCCTGGTAGTAGGAGTGTGCATCAAGTCCACCTATGAAATCAACTGAAAATATAACACAGCCCAACATGAATAAGTGTACAAATAGAGACACATGTAATACCAGGTGCTTAAAATTGAACACATAAAACTAATCTGAACACAAACATCTGTCTACCACCAAAAGGAAAAACACATTTAATATAAAGGACAGCTAAAACTGTTATCAGTGTTCAAAAAGGGGGTAATTGTAACAAACACACAAAGAATGAGGGATCATAAGAGCTGGGAAATCACAGGTATTATTGGCTTTTGTGAACAATGAAGTAGCATTAAATACCATTAGACTTTAAGTTATGTACCTGTTCTTAGACATAATTATGCCTTTCCCTTATATGTCAAAAGATACCCTTTCTCATCTTGTTACCAGATGCATTTTTTTCCTAAGGATATTTATTACATCATTAGAAAGACCTTTGAGAAGTCATACAGCCGACGTCCTGGCCCTCCGTCCACAAACCACCCCTGACATAGAGATACTGTGCGAAGGTTTCATCTGCCCTGTGGTAGCAGGTCCTCGTCCCTCAGGCTGCGTAGACGCTCTATCTTAGGTAATCCACTTTCTAATTCATTGCTCTGACCAAAGCACTCTCTCTTCTCCAACCCTAATGTCCATGGCTAATCTTACTTCATTTCTCCTGTTTTTTCTTTTTTTTTTTTGATTATTTATACCAAGCCTTGGTCAATTTAGGGCCAAAAAATAATAGCAGTCTAACACTTAGGCAAGAGAGGGACTGAGCTCTCAGTGTGTGTATGAATGTGCATGTGTGTGCCTGTATGTTTCAGTACACAGTACATGACTATTACACCATTCTCCCCTTAAGACATGCATTCAGTGAACTGTGACTAAGAGAAAGAATTAATCTAGAAGTTCTGCTAGGTGCCCACCTATTCCAGCTACTATCACCAAGCCCTGAACTTTTTTTTTTTTTTTTTTTACCCCCATCAAAGGGGCCGAATTCAGGCTGGGTCAACAAAGCATTACCAGATTACTATGTAGGTCTGAGTTTTGGAGTCTTGTGGGGTAGACAACAACCAAGTAGTAAGAAATCACCCCTCCCCCTTCTCCTCTAGGTGCCTCAGTTCTAATAACTTGCTAGGGTTAGTTCCTAAGTTTGGCTTTATCTGTTCCTTTGTTTAGTTTCTCTATATTCCACTTAGAAGTGACAGAATCTGGCATTTGTCTTTCTCCTTCTGACTTTTTTCGCTTATTGTATGTAATCACTTTCCAGCTAACAACATTTGAAAGAAGGGGCAGTAGTATACTCCCAAAATGCAAACAACGATGTAAACCAACATTACCAAAAAAAAAAAAAAAAAACAAAGAAAGAAAGAAAGAAAGAAAACAAGGGAGAGAAAGCACCTGTGAGAGAGAAGCAGTGAGAGGGAAATCAACTGGAGACACTGAAAAGACTTTCCCAGAGAAAACACGTAGTGTCTCAAGGGGCCATTTAAATGGTCAGATTAGATTAAATTTTTGTCAGATTAGATATTTGATCAGTTATCTGCTCCTATACCTTGCTAAGCAAGGGGTTGGGTTTTCCAAAAAAAATCACATTAATTAAAAGTTGAATGATCATATAATTTACAGGACACTTTCAGAAGTTGAAGGGGGTATTAAAATAAACAAAATTATAAATATATGTGTGTGAATAAAATGACAGAAGGATATCAAAGTAAAATTATAAAAATAAAGATAGCCCATACCTGCATGCATTGAAGCACAATAAAAACTTTATTAGTGACCATTTGAACATTAAAATGTAACATAAACAGAATCATCATTTTTGGAATAAATTTATGAATTCATTGCTGTGAATCTGCTCTTTAGCCATCTCTTGTATATAGGGGGGAGAAGATATATATAATTTTCATAAACTTATTTACAGTTTCATTCAAAATTTCTTTTTATGGTTTGAAAAATTTGATATTGCTAATACCTTAATTGACTCTCTGAAACATAGTATTTTAAACTATGGAAGTAAATGCCAAGAAAGTTTTCTAAAGAGAGGATGTATGCAATGTAGTTTAGCCAAAACACTTTTCAGGTGTTGTTATTTTACCTCCAGTCTTTGTATCTTCTTTGCCCAAAACTTTACAATTTACAAAACATAAATTCTATCTATTTATGATTCTTCTTACAAAATATAAGTGTTGCAAAACCATATATCAGTGTTCTCAAACCACTTTCTTTTCATTTTATTGTGGATGATAATTGTGGACTATAAATTTGTCCAATTAAAACAGGAGCTTTGTCAAAGGACTCTTTTGTTAAATTGAGCTATTTCAAAGGGATATTACAAAACTGAAAATTAAATGTTAACACTTGAACTCATAATTTAATTTTTCCACTTTTACTTTTGTGAGCATGAAATTCAATGTTTTCATTTTTAATAAACTTTAGACTATTACATTTATTAGAAGCTTTAAGAGATGATTTTAGGGGGAGCTTCATTTCTTGAATGATTTGATTAAAATCTTTCAACTGGCTGTTGAATGCAATGCAAGTTAAATCTTGAATGCTCATTTATAAAAATGCTCACAGCTTTGTAGGAAATTTAGATTGATTTAAAAGTAGTTCATTAAAGGATGTTCATTAAATTTCCTTAACTCTGATTGAAGAAGGGGAGTAACGACAGAAAATGTGTTCTCTTATCCTAAGTTTCTTTTTGCTTATTTTCAACATCAACCTCCTTATAAAAATATTCTCAGTGAAATGCAAATTAAAACCTATGAGATACAATTTAATACCCAGTGAGAGAGCTTAACTAAAAAAATCAGATAATAACAAATGTTGGTAAGGATGTGGAAAAACTGGACTGTCATACACTGGTGGGGATGTAAGATGGTGCAGCCATTTTGGAAAATAGGAAAGTCTTAATAGTTTAACATATTGTAGCAATACCACATGACCTAATAACTCCACTCTTAGGTATATACTCACGAAAAATGAAAGCACGTGTCTACACAAAATTTTGTATGCAAAATTTGTACCAGTATTTATTCATCATATCCAGAAGAGAGAAAATATTCTAGTTTATTTACCCTAATGTGTTTTGTCTGTGTATATATATGCATATGTTTTGGAAACTAGCATTTCTGTTTTCTTTGGCAATATCATGCAGCTTTATTGATAGGCAATTATAAATTACCTGTGCACTTAAATTCCATGTACATTTCTGCTTCAGAAATGTTTTAATTTAATAAAAATACTGTTTTTAACTATAATATTTTATGCCACAAAAAGTTGTATTTTTACCACAAAACCTATAATCTGGACCAGAATGAAAGTCTACAAGTTTTGCTTTGATTCTTTTAATTGGACTAAAATATATATGAAAATAAATGAAATGATTTTCAGCTGACAGCAGCTGATGAACTGGTACAATACTGGTGTCATTTTAGCTATTTGAGAAATTCTTCCACCACCAGAGGCAGCCAATTACTTCCACTTTCAAATGCTTTTTATTGACCTGCAGGATTGATCTCCTGAAGATGTTCAGAACAGGCCTTCTCAAGACTGGTCACATTGGCATGTGAATTACTTTTATCATTCCTTTAACACCTAGAATGAAAATTGGGGTGGATTTTTGTAAAAATGACATTTTTATTAGAGATACTTGTCTCTATGGCAGGATGAGCATCTAACTGAGAGCAGCTGGTCTTTGTCTACGAGTCACCCTTTCCTTATAATGTGAGTTTTCTTCCTCTCTTTGTGAAGCCCTGGTCCCAATCCCATTCCTTACCTTAAGATAAATGCCACTGCCCTGCCCCAGTGGCTTTAAAATCCACATCCATGTACATTTTTTATACATATGTAATTAAATTTGATTTTTCTCCTCTTAATCTGTCTAACATGAATTTGATTGCTCCCAGTATAATAACCCTGAGTGGAAGGGGGTTCTTTTCCCTTCTCCCTGAGACTATCTGCTCACCATGGTCTGGTGCACTGAGTTGGTGGTGGAACTATGGCCTCCAGCACTTCTCTTGTATCCACCTGATGCTGGAAGGAGTTAGTTATTTCTATCCTCTCTGTCCAAGAGCCTATCTTTTTGTCAATTGACCTGAGTGCTGTCCTCTAAAGGAAGATGCTAGTTGCATAGTTTCCTAACAGAGTTGAGGAGAAATGAGTGGTTTGTTGATTTCTTATAGATTCAACCATCTGTAAAAAGGAGAATTCTGCTCATTGTACATGGATCTCCAATCTCAAGGGCACTATGGCAGAAGTTTAAAGGGCTCTTAGTTTTACCCATCCTATGTTGTCCTAATAGAATGACTGATAATATCTCATTTGAAAGCTAAAAAATCTAGGACAAAGTCTACATTCAAGAGGATGCCAAGGCAACTTGTATAAACAGGAACAGTTTTAACCAAACTAGGGCATATGTCTTAGTAGGGATGGCACTGTAAATGAGCTACACTTCTCTGCATCTCAAAATTTTAGTGTGACGTAAATTTTGCAAACCTCTCAAAATAAAATATGGGAAAAATAAATTCTCAAGCTTCCAGACCTATACAAGAATACAAAAAAGAGGAAGTACTAAGGGGGAACCATTGAAGTATAGATGATTAAAAATCTGAAAGCATCCAGAATCCTTTACGAATGAAACACAATGATATGGCTTTTTGGCAATAGAAGCCTAAGACGTTAAGGAGATGATAACTTTTCCACTGCAGGGAAAATGTCCCTCCACCTTTCAGTTCTGCTTTAGCTGGTTGAATAATAAAACAACATCAGACAGAGTAAAAGGAGGAAAGGATCAATTTAGCTATGTCCATACAGGGAATCTACCTGTAGAATAAGGAATCTGCTTTCAGTGGGTGAGAAGAGGGTATATATTCTGAATCAAGGGTTGGTCTAGGTGTCTGGTGCTTCTAGAAGAAAGAGGGGCATTCAAATGACAAAAGGGCCAGATGTTCTGTAATTAGATGTTTGTCCTGCACACACATGGATTTCTCCTATAGAAAGGTCATTTCTGGAGAAAACCTCAAATTTGGTCAATATC